ACGATGATATTACATTAAGATAAAAAACAAAAAAAAAAAAAAAAAGGAGATTTATCCTGTTCCGATACATAAAATTTCGTTCGAAAATTTTAATGAAAATATGTTCAATGCATCGTAATTAAGATTGTCGTATGCGATACTTATTTCCAAAAATAAACACATTAATCGCGTAATTTACCTTAAAACTCGATTAAACTCTATTAAAATTAGGAAACTTTGAACCGCTATAATAACTTCGAAGATAATGACTTTCAGTCAATCAGCGAAGGGCCATTAGAACCGCTGAAGTTTATCCTTTAAAACGATTTATCTCGACACAATTTTTAGTTGCTGTGATATCGTCGTGTAAAGAGAAGTGTAACTTTTAATCATTTATCTCAAACCCATTCAATCGTATTAAAATTAGAAAAATTTTGTATCGCTACAATTTCGAAAATAACGACTTCCGGTCGATGAATCAACGATCATTAGAAGCATGGAATCTTGCCCTTTAAGACGCTTCTTGATTTATCTCGATACGATTTCCGGTTCCCGAGATATCATCGTGTCATTTTTGATCGTTTATTATACTTGTCGCTTGAACCTTTTGCTCACATCTCGTCTCACTGACTTATCCCAAACTCCAAACAAATGTCAAACATGATTCTTGGAAGAGCTATAATACTCGATTCCTAGAAATACATATAAATACTACATAATACCGTATTTCCAAGAAAAGATATGGGTCAGTAGATCACAGCCATATTCATAATCTTTGCACTGTCTTAATTATGGAAATTTTTAATTTATATTTCCGATAACCGATTATAATATCGAGATGAAACATTATAGTTTCTTCTATTTTATGAGTGTATTTTCATGATAAAATTCTTTGTTTCTTCCAACGTTTCTTATATGAAAGCTGGAAATTTCTTTGTTATCTAAAGTATATAGAGACATCTCTATAAAATAATATAGAAAAACTTAAATCAAAGTAATATTTTCGAGAATATAAGAAATTGTTACGAGTATCAATGAAAAATATATTTTATCAAAGAACAATCTAAATATACAGCCCAAATAATATAATCTCTGGTATAAGATTTAAAAATTTAGATTTAAAAACCTCGAAACATTCAATGAATAAAATAAAACTAGATCATTCCTGTTAAATATAAAATTAACAATTAACCCGTATAACGTTTAATTCAACCAACACGAATTTCCTTTGTAATACGAATTACAAAGGAGGTCATACCACGGTGCTCGTACACGAAAAAACTGATTCAATTTTCATTTCAACGGAATACCGTTCCCAAAATTATCCCAAACTCATCTTAAAACTCGTCTCGAATTTTTCCACCCTTTCCACTTTCATTTACTCGAGAAACGTTTGACAACGTTTAATCGTCTCATTAATCGCGAAACACCGCGATGAAATGCACGAAAATTCCTACGTGAGTGGAAAAGTTATCGTTGCGCTTTTAATAGCGCGCGACAGAGCTCGTGTCAAAGGAGAAGAACAATGGCGGCGTAGGCCGAAATCAGACAACGAAAATCATACCAGACAAGAGCGTGTATCGCGCGTATTAAATTGCATCGATGCACGCTGGAAATACCGATGAAACAATTACGGGTCGACGTTAAGACTGACACCGAATGGAACCCATAAAGGGGTGGTTTATTCATCGTGCTTGAAATTACGCGAGACCTCGCGAGAAAATTGAATTTATGGCGGATGATCGATACTTAGGGGAGCGGAGTGGAAACGAAATATTCGGTTCACGTTGTTTGCGGCAATAAAAATTGTAATTAGATCGTAGAGGTTTAGAGCTCGAAGAAAGGGGTGGAGTCTCTGCTTTTGTTTGACTCCTTTGCTATCGAACGTGTCGTATTGGCAACATTCTTGCGTAAAAATTTCTATATTAAACTGGTTGAATTCTTTTAATATATCGGCAAACTTTTAATACAAAATTCGCTCGTTACGGGAGAATATTAATTTTATCGAAACGAGTAATTTATTTTGGGATTTTAACGAGGGATATAAAGGATATATACGACAAGGATGTACGAATGTTCTTTTATTTTTTCACAATCAAAGCTACTCTAACTTTCCTTTGATTTTATTATACTTGTACAACTCGCCAAAGATCGATCTTTGATCTCTGCTCTACAATCCAACGACGCTTCTTCCAATTCTCACAATTCCGCCAATTTCAAAAGTGACAGTCGGAATTTTTCAGATTCCTATTTCCTCTACTCACGTCTCATAATCGAATATTTCCTTTTTAAATTATTATTACATTTTCTATTATAATTCCATTTCTAACATAAAATCACGTGTCAGATTCGTAATCATAATCGACACGAGTTTTTTTTACAAAATTCGAAGGCGCTGAACCACGCACCCTGAATGTTACACACATCCTCGCCCGCTTCGAATCGACTTTTTATCGCAGAAAAAGGGGCGAGAAAATGGCGAGCGAGAGTGAGTATGGCCGCAAGGCGGATAAAATTTGGGAAAATGGTTGATGGTGATTTTGCCGCGAGCGAAGGCGGAAACTCGAGGCGGAAATAGAAA